AGAACTTTCTGCTTGTCTCCAACATTTCCTAATAGCTTCACGAGCCAGTCTGGCACGTTCACTTCGTTTCAGCATTGAAATACTGTTAAATCTGGATAGTATTAACTAAATAAATCGTGATTTGTTCCAACCAGCCCAACAAAGCAAAAAAAAACACGTTAAAAATTATGCCTAATAAAAATGTCGAGGTAATATAATTATGATTAGGATAATTGGCTCTTTACATTCTAACCAATAGAATCACGTTATTTTATATATGGAGATCGGCACAAATTTCAGCGGTGGCTTAGCCATTTGATGTGATTAAGCCGTTCGTACCATATGACTATTCAGGAATTGTAATGGTGGTGTAGTTGGAAGTTTGTTGAATTAGTGATAAATACCATTGATTATTGATTCGTTGATTGTAGGAGGATCATAGTAGAAGTATCGATTGTTGTCGAAATGATGTCAGTGCGAATTGATGTTGCATCATCCGTTATTTGTTAATGTGATGTAAGCAAATGTGTGTTTCTTTTGTTCCCGAAAATCAATGTTTAATCTTTTGCGTTTTTTGACTTATGCAGTTGATTCGCACAAGCTATTTTTTCCGATATTTGAAGAAATAGACCTCACTTGAAGCTATCAGGACTACGATGACATAAATTTGCTTTTCGAGAAATAATCCAACTGTTTTTGGTCGTTGTGAATTATCAAAGTAAGAGCATCTCCAAAGCGAAAGTGTTGATTATGCTGATCTTTTTTGTGGTAGTATAATGAAGACAATGATGAAAAAGGATTTCGCCATAAATACGGAATTGAATTTTCACACCAATGTCGATTTACTAGCATACAGGAAAAAATACAATTTCGGTTGAAATCAAAATATTCAAAGATTTCTGGCTATCAAATACAGTGCACAGTTCGGAGCTTTACTAAATATGTAAATTAATAATCAGTTTAAATCATAAAAATTTGAGCGTTAGCGTTAGAAATTTCGGTTAGGTTAGAACTAAACCCTTTTTATCCAAATGTAATCTCAATGTTTGATTAGTTTAATAGATCATTTTATAAAAACCAAATCCAACAATATAAAAAATTTCAAATGTTTAAAGCTACTCAATTAAGTGAAAAAATATTGGATCGTTTTTCTTGTAGAAAATGGCTAAAATTTTAAATCACTCAAAAAGACAGTTAAAATTTTTATAGTTCTTTAAGTGGTGATTTGCGAGTAATCAGCGCTATTTCCTTCTACCGACACATACGTATAGCTTGAATCTACCATCATAAAGATCCGGCCACTTACAAGCTATTAAATTTGACAACTCAAAACAGGATTAGAAGCTATTCTTTTTATTTATTATTTGTTTACAAGTTTAATTAATACAGTGGCCTCCCAGAATATTGTGGACACTTTTAAATACAATAACGCAAAAACCAATAAAAAGCAAGATTTATGATTCTAAGCTAATAGAATCATTGAAAAATATTGTACATTATATCAAAATTTTAAGTGATTTCAATAACTAGTTCAATATATATATATATATAAAATAAAATTTAGTATCAAACTGAAAATTTACATGAAAAAGAATTCTATTTTATAAATATGCAAATATCTTCATACCCAGTAAACCAAATTAAATATTTTTATATCACCAGTTTCACCAAGTCAAGATGCATCTAATGATATTAAAATCATATAATTTGGATCACTAAATGCAGAGATATAATGTTTTAAAAATACCGTACAAAAATCGGGGTAAACAAAATAACTTTAAAAAAATTTTTAAAGAAACCCATTTTTGCAAATATCTCTGCATCCAGTGGACCAAATTGGATGATTTTGATATCACTAGATTCACTTAAACAAGGCGAACCTGATGATATCAAAATCATCTAATTTGGTTAATTGGATGCGGAGATATTCACAAAAAACTATTTTCTTCAAACAATTTTATCTGATTTTGTACGTTATCTTTTGAAACATGATATCTCCGTATCTAGTAATCCAAATTGAATGAAGAATTTGCTGATAAAATTTATTTAATTTGATTTACTAGATGCGAAGTTATTTGCATCTTTGTAAAATAATATTTTGTCACATAAATTTCAGTTTGATACTAAATTTTATTTTTTATATTTATATATATGTATATATTGAACTATTTATTGAAATCGCTTAAAATTTTGATATAATGTACAATATGTTTCAATGATTCTATTAGCTTAGAATCATAAATCTTGCTTTTTATTGGTTTTTGCGTTATTGTATTTTAAAAAGTGTCCACAATATTCTGGGAGACCACTATACTTTGTATGCTATTCATTTGCAGTAATAACCATGGCAATTCGATCAGGCATACTATAAATAAGCTTTCGATAGTATTCAGGTGCAAGATCCTTCCAAGCCACTTTCATATTCTATGAGACTAGACTGTGCAGGAGATCATCGGCAAACGGCGTCTTTCACTTCATGCCATAAATTTCTATGGGGTTCAAATCGGAACTTTATGAAGGCCAAAATAATGTCTTGATTCTAGAAGCTTCGCGAACCTCTGTTGCAACCTTTGATTTATGTGGTGTTGCAATGTCCTCCTGAAAAATACCATCACCACATGAGAAAAACTTGTGTATGTAGGATTTTTCTATTATCTAAAACTCAAAAATAGTTATCACAAAATGCAAAAATAATTCTGATCGGACCTCTGATCACCATTGCTTAAATTGAATTTAATTAGTACATGTATTAAGTAAAGTACTTCTCATTAAAATAATATTTTCAGCTTGTAACAAAAAAGTATGCCTAACAGGTATCTTTACACACCGGTAAACTTAGCTCATGTTAAAAAAAATATTTAACTGCAAATTCCAAAATGGTGAAAACAGTAAATTTATATCGATATAACGGACGGTTCTGATTATTATGATCATCTATAAAAACGACATAGTTTTTTAGATGTTTTTTTATCGTCCTAAATTAATGAGATAAAAAATCTTTAATATAATAAAATCTTCAATTTGCAATTTTTACAAATTTAACTGCTGTTTAAAATGTCTAATTCCGTCTACAATTATTTAACCTATAATGAGTTGCCAATTTTAACTAACGCCTCTTACCAATTAACTCTTTTATTGAAGAATTAGCTAAATCTGTAATAAGAATGTGATTCTGATATTCTGATAACCACGGCCACAAACAAATGGATAATTTTTCGGAGATTATGAAGCGCATTTACGTTTATTTAAGCAGCACACCAACAAATAGTCAAAGAAACAGCAAAAAATGCAGTTTAAAATGGCGAAAGCTATCAAGCGAGGACAATTATTTCTTCAAAATATTGGAGAAATAGGTGGTGAGTATCCCAAGAAATCATCTTAAATACAAGCATAAGCCAAGAAACGCGAAAGATTCAAACATCGAGAAATGGAATTTTCGTGAACAAAAGAAATACGCATTTATTTCGCTGCCTCAAGAAGCAGCACAAATCTAATAATACAACATCGACAATTGAATATAATGATATTGTCATCACCACTTTGACAACCATTCTTCCACGATCAATAATGCCGAAAATTCGATCGATGACGTGTTTAATGAAATAATTTCATTGAATCAATTTGAAAATGATGATATGAACCTCTTTTCAACGGATCTTTTATCAGGGATTATAATGCCTCGATCGACAATTCTTCACCACTCATTTGTGAAACGAGAGAATGATCAAATGAATACACCGGTGAACAAACATTCCGAAGAGAGCTATTTATTACAATATTCGTAAACTGTGAACGTCCTACACAAACAGCGCAGTGGTCGCCCTCTAGAAAATTATACCAGAAGGTTCCGGGAAATACATCCCACAATATTATCACGAACATTGGCTACAAAAAAGCAAAGCGCGTATAATGAGCACAGCACCATCTTAATGAGAACTGGGAGCAAACGATATTTTCTGTTGAGACAGCTTTTTAATTGTTTAGGAACACCATACAACAGGTCTTTGCCTGAAATAGATTTTGTGCGCAAATCTTTGCAGATCATGAATGTCTTTCACGTTGAAATTCTTGAAAAACATGTATTAAAAGTTGAGACAAATTTGATGGATATAATACGATTTCATAGCAATGAAAGTTTCATAGCGATAGGAAATCGTTGATTTGTATCACCTTAAATATCTAATACAATAATATATATATACTAAGAACGGTTAGAACTCGAACCGGTCTGAACCAGTCCAGTTTGAACCGAATCAAAACCGGTTCGAACGGTTTTGATTGATATTTGTCCATCGCCAACATGGATGGTCAAAGACATATTTGATCGAAAATCTATGTATCGGTGAGAACATAAAAAAAACAGATGTCGAAGAATGGTGCTCCGAAAGGTTAGAGCATGTATTTTGTAAAACCTAACCGATAAACAGTCACTCTCGATAAACCGGTTTATGTTTTATAAACCAGTTTATCAATGATTTATAATAGCATTTGATGTTATTTGCATGATCAAATTTTCATTTATCGTACATCTGTAAATCGATTTGTTATTAAGAATTCCTTATTGGTCGACTTGTCACGTGGTAATTAGATTCGGTTTGATCAGTTCGATTCAAAAAAACTGCTTAAAACCGAACAGAATATTCGGTTTGGTTTCTTAAATGAACCAAACCAGAACGGATTGGTTCGAACCACGGTTCGGTTTTGTTTAGACCGAATCGTTCGTTCGGAGCACTACCGAAGAATTTATTGGAAGGCGCAGAAGGAGCTGACCAATTAATGTGATTTAGTACAACCGATCGGCGAACGAATGACTTTTGTTTTGTCACACAATGTACAGCTGTATTGTATATTTATTGAACATTTACCAATACCATTCATTGCGGCTGTGCAGAAATGCAAGTGTAACAATCATTAAAATGTCATAATGTCATGTCCGGTACGTATTCAGATTATAACTCAGACACATAGAGTATATAATACGTATAGCGTGAATTGTTGATCTATAACGACAATGAAAAAAAATGTCTTTTGAAGAAGTAACGGTAATCAAGTATCTTGATAAATTAATCAAGCATTTTGAAGTAATCAAGAATCATCGTGAAAATGAACGCGAATCATTCGTACCAAACAGTTTTATAATTGATCGTCAAAAAACTATCAAGAATTATCATGAAAATGGACTCGCACCCGTAATCAAAGTTCCATTTCCTCCAACTATTACTCCAAAAGAAATTATTGTAGTCAAAAATGGAAAAATCCCATCAAGGCCTCCAAACAGTTTTATAATTTATCGTCGAGAATTCCAAAAACAATGTCATAAGTTTGGATATTCAAATAGTGTTGTTTCCAAAATGGCAGCTGAGTCATGGCGAAACGAGCCATGGGAAGTAAAAAATGCATATACAGAGCTTGCTAAAAAAGCGAATCGTGGATTAGTCGAAATGCGTGCTGAAATAAATGCATTAAAGTCAAACCATTTACGTGTGCCATTGATCGTTTCTCCCATTTTGTCAGAAATGGAGAAATTATTATCAAATATACCATTGAATAATTCCCTTGCTTCTCCCATTTCGTCAGAAGCTGGTGAATTTTCTCCAAACAATCAAATTCATTCTGAAACTAATCATTCTTTATCTTCGAAACATTCATTGAATGTTTCTCTTGCTTCCCCTATTTGGTCAGAAACTGGTGAATTTCCTTCAAAAAATCAAATTTACTTTTCTGAAACTAATCATTCATTATCTTCGAAACCTTCACATATAGTATTGAATAATTCTCTTGCTTCCCCTATTTGGTCAGAAACTGGCGAATTTCCTTCAAACAATCAAATTTACTTTTCTGAAACAAATCATTCACTATGTCCGACAATTTCACATATAGCATTGAATGATTCTCTTGCTTCACCCATTTCATCAGAAATGGGTGAATTTCTTCCTAACAATCAAATTCAATTTTCTGAAACCAATCGTTCATTATATTCGATAATTTCACATATACCATTGAAAAATTCTCTTGCTTCTCCCATTTCATCAGACATGGGTGAATTTCCAAACAATCATATTCATTCACCTAGCCATTTTCCTTCTAATGTAGACGATCATTTACATTTAGCAAAGAACTATCTACAGAACGTTAATAATAACAATGCGTTGTCTACGGAAATTCTCCAAGTTGAAGAAATCAATCAATTAAGTGACTATCTATATTCAAATGCAATAGAAATGATAGTGAATAGAGATTGTAATGAAACAATCAAAGATCCCTTGAATTGCGAAGAAATTAATTACATCGATATTCACTCATTTAATGATTTGGTTTAAATACATTCTGTTCTCCTAATTGTCATGTGGCTTACCGTAATCTGAGTTGAAAACTTACCGCAAGTAATTTTGACCTTATGGGAAAAGCTTGTGATAACGCAATAGCATATAAAATTGAGGATGGTTGGTCATTATTATGATTTTTATGGTTTCACAAGCAATACATGTACGTAATAGCAATTAAATCGATATCGATACGTATGTAACAGTAATACATGTACCACATGTATAACGATAAACCTACGGGACGTATTTATCATTGCACAATAAATAATGGAATTTTTTGTTTTTCTTGTAGAATGATAAAATAATATAGATTTTACAGTCGACTCTCGATATAATGACCATGCAGATCCTATTGTAAACAATATAAACTGCATGGTCGTTATATCGTGAGTCGACTGTATTATTCTGTTCTTTAAATGTGATTAAAAAAACCAGTTTATTTAATAGGTTCAGCTTTTTTATTTGAAAAATTCGAAACAACTGAAGGGGTTTTAAAATCTCAAACTACCATTTTTATATAAGAGACCTTGTTGAAGTTGCTTAGTAATTTGCTGATTTATAACATAACGATAACTAAACGTAACGGTAACGTAATATTTTGTATGACACGTGGAGAGTAACAGAACATCATCATTAAACGTGGCTATACAATCATCAGGAACTCGGAATATTGAAATCACTTCGTATCACATCAGCTGTATTTGTTAATGGATTATTTTCTTAGAATAAAAAAGCCTACAAGAAAAACTGTTAGCTTACCATATTATGATGTAAACAATATACAAAATTACATAAAATTTTTGACTTAAGTCATGCTTACAAATAACGCGATTGAAACATGAAAAAACATCCATCAAGAAAATTCGGAACAACTACTTTTATTTTATTTGCGGCTAAAGCCACGACGGGAATATAGATCCTCCATATATGCAAGCAATATGCAAGCAATACATTTATATGCGTAATATATCTATAATTTCTTAAATCGAAGAGTTTACTGCTATTTATATAACGATAAATTTAGTTAGAATTCTACAAAAGGAAATTTGAGTTAAATGCGAGTTTTTTTCAATTGTTAAGAAAATCGAACTATAAATGATTCGGACTCGCTTAAATTTCATGTATTCTAGTTAAGACTCGCTTTAACATATTAAAAAAAACTGTCGTGTGTAGTAGTTCGTCCGTAATGCCGTGCCGAATTTTCACCTTTTCCGAGCTCCATAATAATAAAATTCAAAAAATCTAGGAAATGTGTGACTTGAACAATCTATAAATATTTTTTGTGTACTAGATTATTTATAGAATGGTCACAAACGCAGTTAGCTTTCTAATAGAAACTCTTTTCGGCACATCATCATATCATATGGCGAATTGACATTTTGAAATATCGTAATGCGTTCTATTTCGAAGTAGTACATGTTTCTTGAGATTAAAACAATGTAAATCTTTAAATTTTTCGAATTCCTTATTTTGTGGCTGTAATAACGCGCGCTCGTGGATTCCAAAACTATAAAATGTACTCGCTGCGACTACTTTTGAATTCGTTGTCATTAGTGAATTCAAATAAAGAGTATTTTTTTTTCAAAATAAAGCTACGTCAAACCCAGTAAAATGAATCAAAATCAAACAGCTCAAATCGAAAATGAATTAGAAACAAGCAACAAAGATGCATTGCAATCCTTCCCGAGAATTGAACTTCCATTCCCACCGACAATCACTCCGGAAGAAATTATTAATATCAAAGATGGCAAAATCCCATCTAAACCCCCAAACAGCTTTATCATCTATCGTCGCGCTTTTCAGAAACAAATCAAAGAAAGCGGTGTTTTGTTAAAATTAAACGTCGTATCTGCATTGGCATCCGAACAATGGAAGAAAGAACCAATCGAAGTAAAGAAGGCGTATAAACAATTAGCATTGCAAGTCAATTACGCATTAGTTGAAATGCGTGCTCGAGAAGTTAGAGCAAAGAAATACGCACTAGAATTGGAAAATTTATCTAATCAAAAAGCACATGAATCCATAAATGACATGGAATTTCGTGGACAACAATTTTTTTCACCTCAATCACAAGAAAATCAATATTTTATGTCATCCCCACTTTCACAATGTTCAATTGAAGATTTTTCTTTTATTGGTCAAGAAGAAAATTCAACTTTCTTAATTAAAGAAAATGAATCGAACATTTTTAATAACATGTCGCATGATCATTTTCACAACAAAAATCAACATTGTATTAATGAAGAAACGCAAGAGTTTCAAACAACACCATACGAATTACCATACGAATTACCATTAGACTTCAATAGTTATTTGCCTGGCTTTGAAGCCTTTCCAAATTATGCTCAAGTGGAAACAAGCACACTAAATTATTCAAAAAATACAGAGATTTTAGATTTTTCAAATAATCAATCATCAATGAATATGAATACAATATTTGAATCAAACGAATCAAATCAATATTATTTCGACGAGAATGATTTTATGTACTTGGATGATTATCCGATTCTCGAATATTTTTCATATGATGATAATCTAACGAATCTCATGAATACAATTTCATAGAATACACTCCATCGATTTATTTCATAATTTATTTTTATAGATCAAGTTTTTTAAGCATAAATTCGCATAGATTGTAAAGATTAAACCATGTACATGTATCAATTTAGATTTTAATAAAATATTCCAAATATATTATAACAGAAGCATCGAAGCATTCTTTTGTTTACAAATACATACGTAATACAGTGCGAAAAGTCTTTTAAGAAATGCAAGAGGCAAGTACGTACTCAAAATTTAATTATAACGCGCACGTGTACATGTATACTTGTTAAGTTTACAAAGGTGTGGATCATGATGACGTTTGTTTTGCTAAAAATCGTTATTGTGTGTGGCTGCGTATGCCATTTAAGGGGATACGATAAAGCGTTGTACCTTCAGGTAATCCATTCAATGAGGATGCGCAAATTTTGTTGATCACCAATAAGAATGCACAAATTTTGATCAACCCGGCAAAACAAATCCGGCACAAGAAAATTAAAAAGGTGAATAATGTGAAAAATACGGAAAACGAATGTGTAAACCTAGCTTGAAATTCTAATTAAAAATGTCGGGAAGACAATTTTACATCTAACCTTTACTCCAGTCTTACCCTAACCCTTATCCTGACCTTATAAAGCATTGACCGGTGATTGAGCACGTGGGTACAACGCTTTATCATATCCCCTTTAAGGTAGATATGTAACTCTATTTCTAATGTATGTGTGATCTATACTAGGTTTAGATATTCACAAATCAGCTGATCTGCATTTAATTTAACATTGACCAACACTCTTAACTCCAACTATCACTATGTCGACATATCAAGTTATCGTAATAAAAAAACCCAAACATAGTATACAATTTTTTAATTTCGGGTTCAATCTCAAAAGCAATACAAATGTGCCTTGTATACTAAAAAACAAATGACTAAATGATCTTCGATTGCATATCTTTTTCGATTGTTCTGTAAATGCTATTCTTGCTTGCGAATAAAATTTCTGTGAAAAAATAAACCTGAAAAGATATCTACAAAAGAATTCCTAGAAAACAAGAGGCTAGGGATTTCCGAAATATTTTTGTCAAGAATTCAGAACACTTCAACTTTTAATGAGATGTCCATATATATTAATAATTATTTTTAGTGTTAGATTCCCACAAACAATGTTATTTTTAGAACCTGCATATATCTTATTAAAACGATCTTCTTTTTAGAAGCATCTACTAAAGGAAATCGGGAAAATTAATTACATTTACATTTATGATTACAAAAATTAATACGTATACCGCAGAAAATATCTACGTATATATTAAAAAAATTTAGCATATAAACAACGTATTGCTGCCTTTGGATATTTTTGTTTTGTTAGTTTCAGGTCTAATCATACATTCGTTTACGAGTATTCTAAATTATTCTAATCATTAAAAAACAAACATGTCAGAATTCGACGAAGACAATATCCTAGACAAAATTAAAGTTCCGTTCCCTCCCAATATCACACCTGAAGAAGTAATTATTCTTAAAAATGGAAAAATTCCATCCAAATCCCCGAATTGTTTTATTATTTATCGTCGTGCATTTCAAAAAGAGCTTCGTGCCAGTGGACATCTTTTTAAGTTAAATAGAGTTTCTGTTATTGCTTCTCGTGCATGGGAAAAAGAGCCAACCGAAGTAAAAAAGGCTTATAAAGAAGTAGCGCGACAGGTTAATTATATCCTTGTCGAAATGAGAGCGAGTGCATTAAGAGAAAAGAATCAATTAGAAAAAGAAAACTTAATCAGACAGCAGCAGCAGCGACAAATTAGTTTAGAATGTTTAAGTGAATCTAATAAATTAACGTCATTGTCAGATTTTGATGTTGACGAATCAATAGATAATACTTTAAATAACGAACAATCCCAATCTCATTTATCGCCCTCTTTAAATTTTACTAATTTATTAAATAACAATTCACCGCTATCTGAGTTTGATTTGTATCCCATAGATGGCTTTAATTATAATGATGATAATTTGCTATCACCGATGAATCAAATGGAGGATAGTTTTGAATATGTGAATAATCAACATAATTTCTTTGAAGATATGTTAATTGAACCGTTTTTTAACAGAAACGAGAAGAAATTCGATATTCAAACTAATAAATTTAATTATGAAAATGTCCATTTTGAACAATTCTTATTAGACACACAAACTTACGGACAATGTCAAAAAAATTCTTCTATGTTCAATAATGGATTATAAATTAGAGAGCAATATATTTTGACGCACGTTGTTATTTAGCTTGAATTTGTATTTTAACGTAATTATGTATATTATTTATAGATATTTTATTGTATTTAGAATATACAGGATCATATTAAGTAGAATTTCCTCCATATAGTGAAAATACCATAAACCATCAAATACTTTACTATGTATGTTTTTATTTTTTAATAAATTGTTTATTTGTATAGTTTATATGCTTCGTCTTGAAACAAGCAATAACATGTTATATGCGAGCTTCCTTAGTTGTATAATAAGTTTCAAGTGAATCGTATGATACGTTAAAGAATGTGATCGCAATAATTAATGTTAAGAATAAGCGATGCTTTCAAGCAGAAATCCAACTACTTATTTTTGGTCAAAGCAAAAGTTCACTTTTCGTTTTTATATCAAATGTCTTTATATCAAATCAACTTTTCTCATATACTTTTCAACTCATTATGTACTCAATTTTACAGCGTCAGGCTCGTAATAAGTCAAATTTAATGTTATTACGAATTTATTTTGTCTAATTACTCGATAATGAACATTTTTTTTTGATATTTCATTAAGCTAAATAACCAATTTAGCGGCGGGTCATATCTTGTGATTTGATTGGTCGATCAACACGTGGGTGGCCTCTGAGACGGGACTGAACTACTTTAGCTTCTTTTAGATCACGGGACTCTACTAGAAGTAGCCTCGAAAAATTCTGCGTACCCGATTAATGTTAATTAACGTTAGAGATTGTTTAAGGTTAGAATTGTTTCACCGATATTTTTAATTAGTATACGTACAAAGTTGGATTTAGGCATACGCTTTCCATTTTTCATTTTCTTGCGTCGGATGGATTGATTAAAAATTTATTGGTTTAGCCACCTGCGCTGAATTTTCGGGACTGTACGGTTTGTACCACAATAAATCATCCAATAAATTTATCAAACTTAAAAAAATAGAAAAATTTCTAGCGAATAGCCTGAAATTACTCCGATCAGAAATCTAGACAAAATGTTATAAACCGGTAAAGTTTGGGTAATTTCTTATGTAGTGAAGAATTTGAAACATAATTCCAGCTGGAGTTACAATTTCTACGCCAAAATTCTACAATGTGCTGTGCGAAACGTTATACTCGGCAGCGTTGCAATTATACATGAGAAGGTTTGCAAGAAACAGTCCCGCGTGCATTAGATTTAGTTCATTTAAATCATATACGAAAATCTGTAAATTTTATGGAATTTTATCGAAAAGGGTTGACAGATATACAGTAGAGACAGGCATCGATTCTCTAGAATCGATTAAAATTCGAGAATCGATTTTAAAGACAAAATCGATTAATAACGATAACGATAATGATAATGCATAAATCGTGTAAATACTTAGAAAATAACGTGAAATTATGCAATTTTACAACTCATGACAAACTAAATGTACATACTCTGTCATTCAAAATTGTTAATATTGATAATAACTATTCCCAGTATAGAGTTTAACCGATATTGGTCCAAATTTGAAGGATATTTATGAAACAACAGAAAATACATCTAATGAAACGGATAGAATCACAATACTTCAATTGCCTCCATAGTAACTTTACCACGTAGTATCTTTACGAATTCAACTAAGCAAAGTATATTCCAACTAATCAAAGTACAACTTCAACTATCCCAACGAAAAAGGGAAAAAATCAACATGCAATAAAAACAAAACCAAAGGCCAGTTATGCCACCGCCGTCATCGTCGTTATGGCTGTCGTCGTCATCATCGTCGTACTTTGTGCTCGAGAATCGATTTAGGGTTAAAAATCCCTATATCCAATTCTTTCACAACTTGCACGTAAATATTTGACAATTCCTACTTTATCATTTTCATCTGAACGACAAATCATATTGAGCTGTTCCAGATTTTATTTGAAAATATAATAATTTTGACCGATACAACAATCACGCCATCATCGTTAAATTTCTAGCCAATCATAAATCAATAATATAATAATCATGTTGTTTTGGAATAGGGATTGGACTCACACTCGAGTTGATTCGAGTCAGCGATATTTTGACTTGAGTGATCACTCTGACTCGAGTCAAGTTTGACTCGAGTTATACAGTGGTTCACACATGTAACGGAACACGAAAATTAACTTACTAGGATTTTTATTTCCATGTCTATTAGTCGAACAAAATAAAAGTGTTCATTTGAAACCTTGAAACCACTAATATTTTTAAAAATAATTTAGCAACAGATTATTTTGTGAAATAAAGTGATTGACTCGACTCGAGTCAAAACGAGTCCAATCACTATTTTGGAACATGCATATGCATGCGTGCTACGTTAACGTTTTTTTACATACTTACCAGGAACAATGATATGACATTCCACAAAATATCACATACGTAATGCACAAAATTTTGTGATAAATACAAACTTACCTAATATCACTACATAATTTCACAAATATACAAGTTTCACATAATTTCACATAATTTTACATAATTTCATATGATTTTGTAAATCTATAATATTTTTGGATAAAAATAAGGCATGAAAAAATTGTTACTTTAGCAAATTAATTAATATTAACTTATTTATTATTTTTGCATAATGATAAATATTTAATAATCAGAATTTTTTCAGATTAAATTCAAAAATGAAGCATCAAAAAACTAGTTCAATAACAGTTTATATACAACTTAAAAATTATCTTGAAGTATTTCGTATTGATAATGAATTATTTTTTGTAATTATTGTGATCTTTCAGTAGAATGAAAGCACAAATCAATGATAGATGCACATTGTGTAAGTAAAAAACATCAATCACAAAAAAAATTTATGAAAAAAATGAACAAATTAAAAGTCAACAAACTTTACAAACAACTTTATATGCAGCAACATCAAAAAAGAAGTAATTAAAGATTTAATTGAAGTATTTGCTAATACTAATATTCTTTTAGAAAAAGTTAATCACTTACTTCCCTTTTTTAAAAACATCTTAAAGAAGGAGATGCAATTCTACAAGTACTAACTTTACGTTAAATATATTTATCTCAAGTTTTTAATGAATATATCAATATTTTAAACTCAATTTATAATTCTAAATTAGTTTGTATCATTATGGATGAAAGTAATGACATTTGTACATAAAGTGTAGTTAATACTTTTTTTACATATCATTCATATACTAAATTAGTTTCAGTTGATTTTTTTAGAACAAGTTAATAATTCAACTATTGCATAATTACTTTTTTCTATATTACTTTTTTATAATATGCTCTTAAATTTACCACAATTATGTCTTTCAGATTCTGCAACATATATAAAAAAATGGTATAATAATGTTTTAAAGCCAATTATGCTATAATTAATATATTTACCATGTTTTGTACATATATTAAATCTTATTAGATAAGTATTATATGTATTTATATATATTAATTAAATTTATTTTATTTTTATATTTAAAATAGCAAAACTTGATGAGATTTTTCATGATTTTTGTTATTAAAAACTTTTTAACTAATATTAAAAATTCTTTTGTTAGATATCCTGCAAGAAAAAATTGATAAACTCATTTACGTATGTATGGTATTACATCACCATGCAAAATACCATTACCAAACAAAACTCGATGGAATAGTTAATTTAAAATGATTTTTTATACTAAAGAACATCTTCAATATTGGCTGGACTTCTAGACTGAGTATGAAAATAATTCAAATCATGAGAAAATAAGTGCGATTTATTCAATCATGCAAGATAGAGCACAATTGGAAAAACACAATTTATGTGAATTTTATTTCAATTTATACCAAGACATTCGTTCAAGACTTGGATTTTTTTTAACAACAAAAAAAACTAGTTTTTCCATTTGTTGAAACATGATTTACAAATCTTGTATCTTATCTGAATCAAATCGAATTGCACCTCATTTTAATATAGAACTTGATGAAATTATAACATGTTTTTTTATTCAATCCATTGGATTTTTATCCTATTTTTTGAACTGCATTTCAAGCAGCATACAACAAATTCATCTTACATATTCCAAATTATTCTGCTTGTCCTTTATTTCAGACTATGCAACTTTTCGATCCTAAGTATATTCACATAGGAAGTATTCAACGACGTAATATTTGTTATTAATGAATTTCAAAATCCCTCTGATAGTTTAATATACAAGTGGGGTATTTATTGTGAGTTGGAATTTGATAGAAGTACAAATGAAAGTGAATTAGATATATATTGGAATAGTTAGCAAATCGTTTACCAATTCTTTCTCAAATCACATTTGATTATATTTGGTTACCTATATCTAGTGACTGTCAAAATTTATCTAAAGAATCACTTAAGCAACTTAATATGATGTATTTTAATCGGGATAGTTGAGATTTTTTTGTGTTATAATATCTAATAAAAATTTTAACGTTATATATAACAATAATGATAATAAATAAAATAATTAATTACTGTGAAAGGCCATAATAGGCAACTAATACAAATGATTATTATAGTATGTTCAAAATCGCATAATATCACAAATTTTTATTAAAACGCCACAAAATTACACAAAATTCTTACACCAGAATATGTTTCTCCCTAAATCAGGATTGTTTATATCTAACTCAGACTTGTGTGCTACATTAACCATTACAAATATTGGAACATGCATATCGATATGCATGTGTGCAGGATTAAACCCCAAAACAACAGGTAAGTTTTTGAGTCTCCAAGATGATGCTGGAACGGGACCTTTAAACTAGAAACAATATTTTTTTTAGTACTGATTTTATCATTGTTATGCATGTAAATGAATGCCATTATAAATTGTCATTGTTCAGGCAAGTCTATATAGGAATCTGTTTTCTCAAGCTCTTAAAAAATTCAAACTAATAAAAATCCAGAATCACAACTACTGTGGCTCCGATTTCACATCTGAGACTACAATAACTATAATGACAACAACGTCTACTACTTCAGAGCAACAAACAATTATCGACCACACGATCAGCATCATGTCTGAATATGACAAAAAAATGTTACGCGATCCTCCATATAAATTATCACTGTCTATGGATAAGCTTCTTGCACCCGCCAAAAGAACACGTAAAAATAAAAAAGTCTTGAATAATCCTCGACCGCAAAATAAATGGATCATCTTCCGTAAAGACTACGTGGCAAAATTGCGCCTACTTAATCCAAATGCCACTTACCAAATCCAAGATATATCTAAAGAATGCGGTGTTGAATGGAAATCGCAGCCTAGTGAAGTCAAAGAATACTTTGATCTGATACAAAGAATCGCTTTTGAAATACATAAAATCATGTATCCAAATTATAAATATAGTCCAAAGAAAAAAGATGTATTTTGTGAAGATAACTATGACGAAGATTATTACGAAGATGATAACGACGAAAATAATAGCAATTGTGTAGTCTTGGATCCTTCTTCTATTAATGTTTCTAATTCGGCCACAATGAACTCGGCCGAGTCTGGTCCTGTTTTTGATTTCGGTTTATCGCAATATACTCCGATTGACGCATCGCCCGCTAGACAATTGGATTTTCATTTAAATACTCAACATTCAATAACTATATCAGTAGCATCTTTATCTTCATTTTCATCTTCAAATGAATTGTATTCCGACTACAATAATGATGATCTTCAAAACCTTACTTTCAACTTCGATACTTATCTTAATTACGATCCTACAGTTTCGGCTGGAGATTTGTCAGAATATATCGTCGACGATTCGCAATTTGACGGACTTGCTTAGATTTTGTGGAATTTTAATTTTGGGTTTCACGTTTTGAATTTATTTATAGTAGTTTATACCATTCCAAGATATAAGGTTTATAAACTTTACTTTGTTTATGCACTCTCATTTCTCAGATTAATTGCTCATTTACTTCCTTCAATTAGATTCATTTATTAGTTTCTAAGTATTGCATGTGGTTTTTAAATTTTGTTCCTTACTCATTTGAAATTCATGGCTATGTTTATTCCTTTTGACTAGTTCAATTATTTATTTATTACCGTATTATTCTGCGAATGAACGCGACTTTAGTTATGAGGCTTAAAATTTGTCATATTTTTTATTCATGGAAAGAAATTTCTCTAAAGTTATTAGATGTATTTGGTATGGTAGCGCTTGTAAGTTTACTCAGAAAGAGGGTGGTGCTTACTTTTTGGGTGATGCCTCTAATTAGAAGAATATAGTAAATTTATTATTTATTTTTAAAATTGTAATTATCTATATTCGTGTATTGGGGTTGTATTGGACGGACTCGTTTTAGCGCAACAAAACTACGTTAGATTATAAATTCACATGCATGTAGTGATGTCACGGACATTATGCCAAAATGCAACACTGTATGCACGTGTTTAAAAATTAAAAATAGAGTTCTATGTCGATACATAAACTTAGTTATTATATAATAGTTTTTTCATACAAGGCGTTCTTCGTTAATAACGAAGATCGCTATAAAATGATCGTTATAAAGAGTCCCAAGTATAGGCAGGTTTACTAAGGCCTCAAAATTTCGTGAAAAAATTGGTCATTCCCCTGGCTAATAACATTAGAAGTTTGCCGATACCTTGTAGTTCAATCAAATGCACGAACATATTCAATTCTTCAACATTCAATATTGATATTTAAGAATCAAAAATTTAAAATTAATTTTGTATTTTAGTATTTGAAATGTTCACCATACGTACTTGTTTTATATTTTACGATTCGAATTTAATTTTGTCCCGTGTTGATGATCTCATATTTTTTTCAAAGTTATCTAACTTTGTTAAACGATTATATTTTGTAGATAGCATTCATGTATAAGAATCAAAAAAGAGACAATAACAAGCAATTCATTGTCAATAAAATAAATCTGATGATTTTTCGAATTCTCTAATAATTGTTTATCCTCTCACCAATATAGTTTATACATTGTAGCATTCACGCAGAGCATTACAATTTCTGGCAAAAGTAATTTTGTGTCTGCTTTTTCTAATTTTCAAGTCTCGCGACTTTCTACTTCGCTAATGGTGTAACCGCGAGGCGAAAGAATCGCCCTGCGCCTACCTAATCAGAAGCAGTTATCAAACAAAAAAAAGGCTTTTTCTCGATCATTCAATACTATTCAAAAGATTATTGACCGATTTTCTTTGTAAACCTTCTATTTTTAATAATTCTTTTTTTTGTTCTAACAATAATGTCAGTCAAACTTATGTACTATGGTATAATCAGTAGTTCTGTGGAATATGTTGGATTGCAAATTTAATTTGTGCAGATTGCATAGCAATAATTGTTTTTGTTCTCATTGTTTTCGGAGTAATTTAAGACAATAATAGTGTAAATATATTTAATTTCGATCATATTAATATTAAATGATTGATAAATGATATGTACTTGATGGATGCGTAGTATTGTAATTAAGGTTAAATAATGATTCTGATTCTAATTGTAGTAAACCAACAATAAAGAGCATTGTTGAAAAACAATATTTGCAATTGTAACGAGTTATTTTTAGTAAAAGTTAGAAAAAAAATTATAAGCTAAGTGTATAAATCTTCTGGAAAGAAAACCCATTCTATTTTTAATTATGCATGTAAAAAACATTTTTGATAAAATTTAGAAAGAAAGGACAATTAGCGAACATGAAATTGGTTACTTGCTACATCAAAGAATTGATCTAATCCTTTTATTATCTATTTAGTGCAATTTTATAATTTTTTAAATCTCTAATCACTAATATTCATGTAAATTTTCTCTTGTATTTTGTGTGTGAAATTTTTATTTTATTTTTTCTTTCTAATAGCTTAGTATTATTTATATTTAGTAAAATAATTATTAGTTAGATAAATTATTGAAATTATATAAAAGAAAAGTCTTTTATTGCTAAAAACTTTCATGTTCTGATCTAATAAAAATAATAAAGTTCTTATTTGTAATATCATATTTGTGAATACACTATTATTTTTATAATTATCTTCAAATCTTAACTACAAGTAGTAGATGTTTCTTTACTTTAAATAAGTTATTGATTTTATTATTTGTAATTATTTTGTTTTATTATTTTTAGATCACGTTAATAAGTTCTATTTATTTTATTTAATATATTATATAATTATTTTGTTTTATTAATAGTTTCAATAAGTTCAATTATTATTTTATTTCTTTAGACAATTTCAATAAGTTCTATTAGTTTCTTTAATATTATTTTATTCTTTTTATTTAACTTTTTCACTTTTTTTATTTTTAATTTTTGACAATAAGTTAGTTTATATACAAGTTATAGTACTTGTCAGAATTAATAAACTCTCTATAACTTGGCTAAAAAATAAGATAAAAACTTATTTTTTTTATTATAAATATTTATAATATATTCTAATCATTAATGTATTATAATCTCTCTCAATATTAATTAATATCTCAACTCATCTTCTCATATTATGAATAAGATTTGCAATAAGATTATCAGATAAACAATTCCATTCTGTTGTTAATTGTATCTTTAATCTGATAAGAGTTCTAATTTTTTTTGCAATATTAATTTTTATTAATCTTCAAATATTCTTAATTAAATTTTGGTTAAATGATATTGATAGTTATAACTGAACTTCAATATTATTTTCCTTTTTTCAATAACTCATCAATTTCAAATAGTATTTTAGGTTATTATTCTCTTACAAGATTTATCTTTCAGAATTGTTTTCAAAAAGATATTCAATGAATAGTAAAGATCATGTTTGTATACCATAACTATAAATTTAATATTGAAATTCTGCTAAAAGCAAACTATCTTATCAAAACCTAAAGTAGAAAAACAATTTTATATATTAATTTCTTTACATATCAGAATATTTTTCTTTATCCAGAAAATTATCAGATTTTAAATAATGATTTTTTTAGATAAAATATACTTCTATCTGAAAATATAACTTTACACCAGTCAAAATTTTTATATTTTTTTGCTTATTTTAATTGTTTTTCTTTATAAACATTAGTAAATAAAGATTTGATAAGTTTTATTATATATTTGCTTTTACCTTCATATAAATATTATTAATATTTTATTTTTTTATTTTTTATTATATATTAGTGATAATTATATTAATTTATTTTTGTGCAAGCGCTATAATCTTTTTGTCTTATTTTAGAATTATGAATCAATTTTTATTAGATTTTAGTTAATTACTTAAATTCTTTATTTTCTACTATTTTTGAATTAGATGAATTACTATAAACTTACTATATTTAACATATTTAATTATAACTTCAAGTTCAAGCTTTAAATCTTTAAAATATATATATAAAAAAATAATTTCATATTATTTGTAAATTAGAATTAATATTATTTGTATATAGAAATTTGATGAATATAGAATGATCAATTTAGAAGTTTATCAATTAATAAAAGATATAAATATTTAGTATTTGTATTATTTTTTGTTCTCAAAAAATATTGGTATATTATACATGATCTATAAGAGATCTATTACTTTTGATGAAGACTATATCATAAAAAATTTTTAAAATTATTAGTGAACTTTATTAATTATAAATTATTTAGTCTTTGTTTATTCTTTTAATAATTATTTCTTTATTAATTTATTAGTTTTAATAACTTTTAAATTAATAAAAATAATATATTATAATATTAATATTAATATTAGTATATAATTATTTAAATTTAGTTTAGTTAATTTTTTATTAGTTTGATTTTAAATCAAAATTTAAACTAAACTAAACAATTCAAACTCTTATTTCTTATAATAAAATTTAATTTTTTATTTGTATTATATATTATAAGTAATTAATTATAATAATAATTATATATAAATAATTTAGTATTTATACTTTTTATAATTTAATATTAAATTAACAGATTTTAATAAAGAAACTTGTAAAAATAAAGTTAAATAATAAGTTAATTTTGAAAAAAATAAATAATATAATAAGTTTATTAATTTAATGAATATAATAATAATATAATAAGTTAAAATAGTATAATAAATATCTTATAAAAATTAATACTTATAATATCTTTAATAATATTTTTATAAAGAATATACTTTTGTATAATATTTTTTAATAATAGTTTATTTATAATAATTAAAAAATAGTATATAGAAATATATTATTGATAAAAATATTAAAAATATTCTAATTAAGCAATTAATAAATAAAAAATAATTAATTATTATAGAATAATATGCTTTTTGAGTACAAAATAAATAATAATAAATTATATAATATTAGATAAAAATTATAGCTAATATTATAATTTTTACTAATATTTTTAATATTTAATACTTAGCTTAGTATTTAATTTTTTTCTTTTTATATTATTTAATTTAGATTTTTTTAATATTAGTAATTCTTTATAAAGAATATTTTTATTTTATTATATTTATATATATTTTATTTAATATATTAATTCTCTATTTATTTTATTAATTTATTCTTTATTCTGTTATATTTTATTTAGTTTATCTTTTATTTTATTTTTTAATAAAAATATTAATATCAGAATTTTGCTAATATTTTCTTGTAAATTATAGATATTAAACTTAAAATATACAAACTAATACTTGTAGTTACTTTAGCAAAAATTATTTAATATATTAATTTATAAATAATAAAGTTAATAAAATAGTTAAATTCACTAATATTATTTAATTATACAAAATAAATTTATGACCAATATAAAATTTTAATATAATTATATTTTTAAATTAAATATATTTATATTAAAATTAATTTTATAATTAAAATTT